TTTCTTTGCTAAAAGATAAGTTAGAATTAGGAGGATTCATTATATTTTTACTAAAGCTTTTTGATTGATATTTAGTGTCATGCCACAGGATTTACACCTTTGCATTTTTTTTATCTGTTTTTGCCATGCTATAATGTTTCAGCCCTTGAACATATGTTAATATCAGACACACATAACCATATTAAATACCTTCAATCATTTTAATATAGAATAATAATTTCTTTGATCCTGTGATGACAGCATATGCAGCCCCACAATAAATGGTTTGGTAATTATTTTTATTTAAACATATCACTTTATATTTGTATACCCTGCTTTTGATTCTTTTTTACTTATGATTTGGCAATGGCTAACTATTTGGGAGCACACATTTAGTTGACTTAGTTTGCTACATCTTGCTGGTATGGTTCACTTTAAACTAATACTTTTCTTTTGGTTGCCATGTTGGCTGGGTAGGGCCTGTGAAGCAGGAGTCCCAGCTGCAAAGAATCTCAGTGGCACTAAGACTTAATTGGACTCCTCCACTTCTTTTAGAAGAGGTGTGGGGGGGTTTAAGTTTTTCCACTTTGTTAGGTTTTTGTTGTAATTAATGTTGGACAGTGTTACATACAATAATGTGGGAGAACCTTGTGTTTGTTTAGACATGAGCTTTAGCTTTGAGGAGTTTGTACAGGCTCCTAGCCATGTGTAGCTGGAACTGTGTCATAAGGACGACTTGTTATGTCTGGCTGAGCATTTTGACATTCCGGTGAAAAAACATTTTTCGAAAGCTGAAATTAAAAACATTGTTGTTCGAAGACTGGTTGAGATTAAAGTCCTCACGGACTCAAGCAAAATGGATGTAGATGTGTGTGATGATTCTTCTGTTGATCTAGGACTCCATCCTTCGAAAGATAAAGGAGCTCCTGCATTGGCCACTCCTCCAAAGGAATTGGTAGAACCAAGGACGCCTCCTACAACTTTACCACGGTTCGATCCTGTGTCACCAGAGTTCAGTGGCTCCAGTGGTAACGCTAGACTCAAGGTTCGGCTAGCTTGCCTGCAGTTGGAGGCTCAGGAGCGCGAGTTGGTGAGAAAAGCTGAGTTTAATTTCAAGCTTGAAATGCGCAAGTTGGAGATTGAAGCTGAAAAGAAGATTAAACTGAAACAGCTTGAGGTTGAGGCTATGAGGCTTTCACGTGATAAATCACCACCTCGTTCATCTGTCTACTCTGATTCTCCTCATGTGGTGCTAGATAGGAACAAGTTTGATGTCAGCAAGAATATTGCTTTGGTTCCTTTGTTTAGGGAGTCAGAAGTGGACTCTTACTTTAATGCATTTGAGAGGATTGCTGTAGCACTTGAGTGGCCAAAGGAGATGTGGGCTGTGCTACTGCAGTGCAAGCTCATGGGTAAAGCACAGGAGGTTGTTTCATCTCTGTCAACAGAGGACAGCATGAAATATGATGTACTGAGAGAGTCAATCTTGCGTGCTTATGAGCTTGTACCTGAAGCTTACAGGCAGAAATTCAGAAACCATAAGAGGTCTAGTGCCCAGACCTATGTGGAATTTGCACGTGAGAAAGGACTCCTTTTTGACAAATGGTGTGCTGCCAGTGAGGTTAAAGGTAACTTTGAGTCCCTTCGCCAACTAATTCTGTTGGAAGACTTCAAGAACACCTTGCCTGAGAGACTGGTAGTCTTTTTGAATGAGCAAAAGGTGGCCTCTCTGTCTAAAGCAGCTATTGTAGCTGATGAGTTTATGTTGACACACAAAAATGTATTTGTGTCTGTACCCCGTACAGATAAAGTTTTGAACATCCGTCAGCTAAAGCCTGACCCCACCCTATCGGAAGCTAAGGCTAAGCAGCCTCCACTTTCTCTTCGTGAGGCAAGAGAGTGCTTTTATTGCCATAAAAAAGGCCATGTCATTGCTGACTGCTTATCCTTAAAAAGCAAGGCTTTGGCAACACAGACAAAAGGTGTTGGGTTGCTTAAAAATGTGTCACTCTCTAGCAATCAGACTGCTAAAAATGGAGATGAACTAGATCCCTGTTTTCTACCCTTTGTTACCCAGGGTCTTGTCTCTTTAACAGGGGATCCAAAGGACGGCCGGCAAGTTAAAATACTGAGGGACACAGGCGGGTCCCAGACAATCATTCGAGAGGGTATTTTGTCTCTGCCTGTCACCTCATCTTGTCAGTCAAGAGTGGTTGTCCAAGGTATAGGAATGGCTTTTGTGTCTGCACCCTTGCATAAAATCCACCTTACTTCATCTGTTGTGAGTGGTTTTTGCAGGGTTGCTGTTCCTCCCGCCTTGCCCATAAGGGGGATTGATCTCATTCTGGGGAATGACTTGGCTGGTGGAAAGGTATTACCTGTGCCTGAGGTGTTGGACACACCTGACACAAGCGTGGACTTTGAACCAATGTCTTCTGGTATTTTCCCTGCTTGTGCAGTCACACGGGCCCAGTCAAAGAAATACAGTCCTGATTTGTCTGACTCTTTTCTTGCCACAGGGCAGTCTCAGCCTGTTACATCAGAGACTGAACTCAACAAACCTGAAAGTGTCTTTCCTCTTCCTGGTCCAGATATGTCCAAGTTACCAGCTTCTAGAGAGGAGTTCATTGTGGCACAAAAACAGGACATGACTCTGTTGAAATGTCATTCTTCTGTTCTTACTCAGCAGGAAGCCCAGAGGAAGAAGATGGCATATGTGCTTGATGATGGTCTCCTGTTGCGACGCTGGGCTGGTGAGAACTTGGAAGACTGGAATGCCATGTATCAGGTTGTTGTGCCAACCCCATACCGCAGACAGGTGCTAGCATTAGCACATGATCATCCACTGTCAGGGCATTTGGGTATAAATAAAACTTATGACAAAGTTCTGAGACACTTCTTTTGGCCAGGTCTCAAATCTGATGTTTCACTTTACTGTCGTACATGCCATGTTTGTCAAGTTGCAGGCAAGCCAAACCAGGTTATACCTCCTGCTCCTTTGTGCCCAATTCCTGTAATGGGTGAACCATTTGGAAGGGTGATTGTGGACTGTGTGGGGCCTTTGCCAAAGTCAAGAAGTGGAAACCAGTACATCTTGACGATGATGTGTGCTTCCACAAGGTTTCCTGAGGCCGTTCCCCTGAGGAGGATCACTGCTTCTGTGGTCATAAAAGCTCTGGTAAAGTTTTTCTCCATGTTTGGTCTTCCTAGGGTTGTCCAAACGGACCAGGGCACCAACTTCAAGTCTAGAACCTTTGCCCAGGCACTAAAACAATGGGGGATAGAGCATGTCACTTCAAGCTCTTACCACCCTGAAAGCCAAGGTGCACTAGAAAGATTCCACCAGACATTAAAGACAATGCTGCGAAAATACTGCATGGAAACAGAGAGGGGCTGGGATGAAGGTATCCCATTTTTGTTGTTTGCTGTGCGTGAAACTGTGCAGGACACTTTAGGTTGCAGTCCTGCTGGACTTGTGTTTGGACATGAGGTTAGGGGACCTTTAAATGTCCTAAAGGACCAGCTAGTTTCACCCTCTCCCTCTGTAAAAAGTATTCCAGAGTATGTCTCGAAGATGAGAGAGCGCCTTCAAACAGCTTGCTCTCTTGCTCAGAATGCCTTGACTTCAAAGCAGGTCAAAATGAAACGGCACTACGACCAGAAAGCGGTCACTCGTGAGTTTCATCCTGGTGATAAAGTTTTGATCCTACTACCCATCCCTGGTTCTTCGTTGGAAACAAAGTTTTCAGGACCATATGTGGTAGAAAGGAAAGTTAGTGAAACGAACTACGTTGTCCAAACCCCAGATCGCCGTCGCAAGACCAGGCTTTGTCATGTTAATATGATGAAATTGTATCATTCCAGGGTGACTGATCAACCAGCCCAGAGTCAGGTTGAAGCAGTTTCCCCTGTGTCCTGCATTTCAAAGTTGACTGGGGAGGATGCGGTAATGCGCAAAGACCCACCACAGGTTGCAAGACTTAGCAATAGTGAAATACTAGCTAACCTGCCCAGTTATCTATCCCATTTATCAGATAGCCAAGTGGAGGACATTAAAAAACTCCTTTTTGACTTCCCATGTCTGTTTGGGGATGTTCCCACCCAAACTAGTGTGGTGTCTCATGACATTGTTCTTACCAATCCTGCACCTATAAAGCAGAGGGCATATCGTGTCAACCCCACCAAGAGGGAGATCATGAAAAGGGAGGTTGAGTATCTTCTTGAGAATGGACTTGCCATTCCAAGTTATAGCCCATGGAGTTCTCCATGTTTGTTGGACATGAAGGCTGATGGAAGTTCAAGGTTCTGTACAGACTTTCGCAAAGTGAATGCTGTAACAGTCCTTGATGCACACCCTTTGCCTCTCATTGAAGACTGTATAGATGAGATTGGACCAGCAACATTTGTCACTAAACTTGACATGCTGAAAGGATATTGGCAGGTGCCCCTAACAAAAGAAGCCTCTGACATATCAGCTTTTGTCACACCGGACAGTTTTCTCCAGTACACAGTGATGCCTTTCGGGCTGTGTAATGCTCCGGCCACATTTCAAAGGCTTGTAAATAAAGTACTGGGTGATGTGCCAAACTGCCGGGTATATCTAGATGACATTGTTGTGTATTCAAATGACTGGTCTAGTCATCTTGCCACTTTGCTTGAGGTCTTCAAACGCCTTTCGGCTGCCTCACTCACACTCAATCTTTCAAAGTGTGAGTTTGGCAAAGGTACCATTCTCTATCTTGGCCAACAGGTTGGTGGAGGAAAGGTTTGTCCTGTGGATGCTAAAATCAAAGTCATTTCTGACTTTCCAGTTCCTACCAGTAGAAGAGAGCTCCGCCGATTCCTGGGCATGGCTGGATTCTACCGTCGCTTTTGCAGAAACTTTTCCACGGTAGCAGCCCCTTTAACAACTTTGACAAGCCCCTCTAAACCTTTTACTTGGTCTGATGAATGTCAGCATGCTTTTGAACAACTTAAAGGATTGCTCACTTGTTCTCCTGTTCTTTCTGCCCCAAACTTCTGTCTGCCTTTTAAACTGGACATTGATGCCAGTGCTGTTGGGGTAGGAGCTGTTCTTCTACAGGATGATAAAGATGGAATAGAGCACCCTGTAAGTTACTTCTCAAGGAAGTTTACTCATCATCAAAGTAGATATTCTACTATTGAGAAGGAAGCGCTTGCACTACTTTTGGCATTACAGCACTTTGAAGCCTACCTCGGCTTGAGTGTGAAACCCATAACTGTCTTTACAGACCATAACCCACTTGTCTTTCTTTCCAGGATGTACAACCAGAATCAAAGACTTATGCGGTGGGCTTTAGTCGTTCAGGAATACAACCTTAAGATCTGCCACAAGAAAGGGTCGGAGAATGTGTTGGCAGATGCTTTGTCACGTGCCCTTTAAGGTTTTTTATTTTGTACATTCCAAACATTTATGTTTGGACTTAGAAGGGTGGGGGTGTTACATGCCTGCCAGGCTGTTTGTTTTTCTTTCCCCTCCCCCCTCCCCTTTGCTTCTACACAGGTAGCAGAAGCTGGGATCCATCTTCCCTTGATTGAATCTCTCCACCTTTGGACCAATCAGGATCCAGGGAGGTCCTATATAAGAAAGCCACTTAGAGATCCTAGGCCCTCTCTTTTCCTTGGCTTGCTTGCTGCATGGTTGTGTTCTGTGTGTCTAATGGTCTGTGGTGGGAGTTAGTGGACAAGGTAAGGTTGGGGTACCCTGTACATCTCATCACGTAGGAATATTTTTGTTAAACACACTAGGTAAGTAGGTGGATGCCACCCTTGTAAAGTTTTGGTGAATCTTTTTGTTAGATTAGTTAAGCAGGGTTTTTGTTTCATTTGTTTTATGTAGCTTAGACCGTAGGTAGGCCCTGTTTTTGTTTTATTATTTTCTTTGATTTGGCGCCACCTAATCGTCCCTTTCTCCCCCACCATTTGTATGAGTTCCTTGGGATTTTCTGTAAACAATAAATCCCTGATTTTTCTTTGCTAACATTCACTTGGTCTCTGAATATTTTTGTGGTTGTCAAGTTACTTCCCTCTCTCCCCAGTAAAAAGGGGGGGAGCCGTAACAGACAGTTTAAATACTTAATTTATTTTCTCTCAGGTTGCTAATTTTGTATTGTGTTGTATTATTTTGTTCTTTTTGTTGTAGTTTTGTTAAGGCATGATCAGCCAGTATATATGTTCCCCTTGTGTTTCAATTTGTTAGGTCAATTAATACCAGTACTTCAGTTGTTTTTGTTAAGTTTGCTTTTGTTGACCTCATTTTCTTTTGGGCCCAGAGTTATCTTTAGAGTTCAGAATTTTGTTGTAAATAACTGTGTTTCCATTTTTGCCCTCCAACTTCCCTGTGCTCCTCTGATTTTTGGGGCTCTGTCCTTCACAGTGCAAACAATTCAGTCATTTGGGTTATTTTCATTTAAGTTAAAAAGCACACTAGACCTACTCTATGTTCTGTCTGTTGCTAAATTGAGAATCTGTTGTGATAAACCACATTTGGGTTAGTATGATTTTTATTAGTAACATCCCGGCCAAACCATTGACAAGCAAATTCATTGGTCGGGACATGCTTAAAAGGACATTCTAAGCTTTTTAAGTCTGTGTCAACCTATGTCAAGAAATGGAGAACACATTGAACAGTTTGTTTTTCCAAAATCATTAAAACTCATCCATGGGTTCACAAAATAGGCCAAGAAAATATCTAGAACACCACAAACCTCAGTAGGGTCAATATTCAAGATTCAATAATTAGAAAAATGCTGTTAAAAAAAGGGCCTCCATATTGAAGAAAGATTTTCATTTGACAGACTAATATTTTGGATGATAATTGTTAAGGTGAAATAAAGTGATACAAACTTGTTAAAGAGACATTTTGTTCATTTTTACTTAAATCTAGACTTTATTTAACCCTTTATGACTAAAACATAGTTTGATGAGCAGACTGACACTTCAGCAGTTCAGCACCAATGCATTTATAAGCATGTATCTATATATGTTCATAGGCTGTTAACTGAATTTAGTTTAGGTCAGAAGTTTACGTGTTCTTCTGTGGATTTGACGTCAAGCACATCCTTGTTAAATGGGTCCAACCTAGCGAATGATTGAAGCGTTATATTCAAGATTGAAATTGTGGATAATCAGAAACGACTGGCGTCCAGCTTAACTCAAATACTACTGGCAATAAAGTGAAAAAAAGTACAAAAATAAACAAAACAAAACAAAAAAAAAATGCCATGCTTCTTCAATTTAACTCTAAAGAATGTGGAACTATACACCCTGAAAAGATGTTACACTCAACTCTGTGGCAGTTAAATCAACACTGGGCATTTTGCTATGAAGTTAGATCAGATTTTGTTTTTTGTTTTTTTTTAGGAACACTAACACTGTGAGATGATTGCACCATCTCCAATGTTAAATATGGTTGAGGTAGCATCAAAGAGAAAAGCTTTAAAAAAAATCCATTTAATCTGACAAAGCTTGGGGTATTTATAGAGGTTATGCAAAAACTTCAGCATATGAAGTTACAAATCATAAACACACCAAAAGGTTGCATTTTAGTAACACACCGGAAATATCAGCAATGCGGATGACATAAGCCTATAAAATGAAAAACTTCCCACTTTTTTGGGGAAATATTGATAACAAAAATCATCTTTATTTTTCATTGCAACTGTGTACATTGAAATAAAATGTGTCCTCTGCTTATAACCCATAACTTCAGAAGCAGTGGGTGAGTGTTCTGCAGTGCTTGGGAGGCCTTCTGATGCTGAGCGTCTGGCCCAGACACCCAGCTTGGCCATCTTTAAAACCACAGAACAAGCAGACTTCCCAGGATGCAAACACCATGCTCTAACCACTAGGTAACCCCTTCCCATTGAATAAGGGAATGAGCAGTTTTCATAGCACCAGTTTTTATTCTTCATTTATAGAGTTTCTATATAGAGCATAGAAAACACAGATATGCTTCAAGCACTGCACCAATTAAACAGAGGTGTCAAAAGTATTAATGTGTATTACTCAACCAGAAGTGTAAATCCTACTGTTTAAAAACACTTACTTAGAAGCTGGAGTATCAACTTAAAGGAATAGTACACCCAAAACATGATTAGCCTTCATTTTCTACTCACCCCCATGCTGAACAACACTCTGGAGTACTTTTTTGATATCTCAAATGCATCTGGAGATCTGGGAGACTTCTTGCTGTCTGCTGACATTCAAATAATGGAGGTCTATGGTGCTCGAGACAGAAAGGTCCATAAAAGTCCAGAAAAAACGTGTCAATATTCCTCCATACTGCTCGTCCAATGTATTCCAAGTGTCCTGAGTGGGTAGCGTCCATAATTTACTCGAAACGAAGTAATTTAGAATGTTTTTAGAGCATAAACAGTAGTGTATAGGAATTCCTGAAAGCGCGCACATGCGCGTTCACGACGCTACGGAAGCCGGCAGACCAAACCAGCGCATTCAGCTCGGCAAAGAACTCATGCTCTTCCTCAACACTGAAGTCCTCACACATTTTTCTTTCGTTGTTTCTTTCTTTGCACAGGTAAACAGCACATTTCTTCTTCTACGCTTGCATTATTGGCAGAGCAGACGCTGAATGCGCACTTTCATCTGGTTTGGTCTGCCGGCTTCCGTAGCGTCGTGAACGAGCATGTGCGCACTTTCAGGAAATCCTATACACTACTGTTTATGCTCTAAAAACATTCTAAATGACTTCGTTTCGAGTAAATTATGGATGCTACCCACTCAGGACACTTGGAATACATTGGACGAGCACGTTTTTTGTGGACTTTTATGGACCTTTCTGTCCCCATCACCATAGACCTCCATTATTTGAATGTCAGCAGACAGCAAGAAGCCTCCCAGATCTCCAGATGCATTTGAGATATCAAAAAAGTACTCCAGAGTGGTGTTCAGCATGGGGGTGAGTAGAAAATGAAGGCTAATCATGTTTTGGGTGTACTATTCCTTTAAGCTTTTTACTCAAGTAGAAGTGTAAAAGTACAATATTTAAAACTACTTCAAGTATAAAAGTAAAAGTACTGTAATGCAGATGCTTAAAACTTCATACTGGTTATTGCATTACCCTATTAGAGGAACATTTTCTGGATGATGACTTCCTTATACTTAATTTTCTTAGTTCTATAACTAATGGTAACAATGTCAAATTTCATTTTGCATTATCTTGAAAAACTTTTTATTTGGAGCAGTACAGAGTCCAACCACAAAGAAATTGTCTGGACAACTAAAAAAACTTAAATGAGATTAAATTAAACAAAAACTAAGAAGTCTATTTTTGAAATGTAAGGAGTAGAAATCAAAGATAAATGCAAAAATATAGATAGCCAAAATTTCTACTTAAGTAAGGTAACAAATTATTTGTACCTTGTTACTTGACACCTCAGCAATTAAATCATTCTTATTTCTAAAGTGACATGGTAGTCACTAGGGGTGTAAATCACATCCATCATGGCGATTCGATTCAGTATCGATTTCCTGACCCAACGATTCGATTATTTTCGATACTTAAGAATACACCACGATTCGATTCGATTCGATTAATCGATTAATCGGTTAATTTTTTTATTATTATTATTATTTTTTTTTTTTTTTTACACCTTACAGGCTAAACAAAGTTTCAAGTTTGAAATAAATCAATGAAAGCTGTAATATCATTATGCATTTTCTTTAGAAACAACAGCAAATAACAGAAGTAGAAAAGTTGCATCAAAAAATACTGCAAAAATACTGCACAATATCAGTGTAATGAGTTCAATGCAATACCTCGGCTCCAGAGAAACTGTCCAACATATTTTTTTAGAATGTAATAAATATATTCAGGAAAGAGAGATGTTGTGTAGAGAGTTAGACAGGAATAAAAATAAACTGGATATAAGGGAACTGTTTCAAAGGTCATCTGGGGATGTAGTTTTTGGGGGTATTTTTAATTTTCTAAGAAGAACGGGTAATTTAGGGAGAATATAATAGTTTGTCTGGTCCATACTCCATTCTGGAAGGTGGCGGTAATGCACCTATAAGTTGTTTGCCAACCGCCATTAAAAAAAGAAGAAGAAGAAGGCTCCAGAGTGTTGACGTCACCGCCCCTTGAGAGACGCTCCGCTGCACCTCTCCCAAGTTGTAGCCGACCGCAAACAGTGCACCAGACAGGAGGCCGGCTTGTTTTGTTTTTATGACCGAAATTGCGGAAAACAACTCGTGAAGTTTGACCCGCTAGATGAGCGAGGTGCGCGAGACCGCTGGGACCCTTTTTCCAGCTGAATCTCCGCTCTTTTTGCCCCATTGTCCCTCCGTCGTCGGACTAAACTCGCCCCCACTTCCTCACCGCCTCGGTATCTAGACCCACAGCGTGTAGCCCAGACCACGCTTCAATACTGAGCATAATTTAAAAATGTCTGTGTGAAGCTTGCTGCAACAAACTGCTGTAAGAGTATAACCAGGAAGCGCGGTAGGAGGGGAAAATAGGTTTAGCGGCACCGCAGCACGGGAGGAAGAATTACGCCCAGGAGCAAATGGATAAAAATAGACCGGAGGGAAAAAAAAAAACATTAATCGATTATCTTGCGGACGTGTCGATGCATCGGATCGTCGGCTTTTGGATCGATGCATCGATACAAAACGATTATTATTTACACCCCTAGTAGTCACCTCTTAGCTTGTCTCCCACGGAGGTGAAAAATAGAAAAAGAGGGAATGCTGATCAGAAGAGAAATGCTAAGAGCAGATGGTAGAGTTGGCCCTTTGGGTGATTATAGACACACCTGTCAGTCACTTTGCATTTATGTGCCTCTGTATTTGCTTGTGAAGCTCTGACTTATCCCATGTGTTCCCCAGTTTCCTTCCATCTTGGTAATGTTAGATCACATGCACGTGTTTATTGCTGTAACATTCTTCTCCAAATGGTTGGATGTGTTTGTAGATAAAAAAAAAAAAAAAAAAAAAAAAAAAAAAAAAAAAAAAAAAAAAACTTAAAAATGCAGACTTTCCATCACCTGTTCACACTCTCTCATTTACTCTCAGATCTCAGTGCCTGCATCATGAGGTGTTATCACCCTCTAGTTGTAGTTCATGTTATTGCAGTATTTTCAGGCCATACACATTTACACAGAACTTGTTGCCATTGACTAAAAATACCTTTGAGCTTAAGCAGTTGCTGCCTTGCTTGGTCTTAAGAACAATATCATTTTGATTAACTTAGGAAAAATACAATTATTACCTGCCTAATATCGTATCTTTAAATATATATGGAATGAATGCATTATTCTATTTTTAAATAAGTTGGAGATTATATACTCATTTTTAACAGATAAAATAATCCCATAAAATAAAACGAATCCACCATCTTTTAGCAGGGGCTGAGAGCTAGACATTCTCATCATAAGGGGTTCAGCCCAAAACATATTTCATAATCAAGCTGATGTTATTTTTGCATCCTACCTATTTGTTAACATTTAAATATGATTAAGGACTTAATATTGTTAAGGAAATACAATTTTGTCTGAGAGGATGTAAGTGCATGCAACTTTTTCAGTTCTGATACGATGCCGATATTGCAGCTTTGAGAATTGGCTAATAAGGCCGATATTGACCGGATACAATATTAGAACAAAATATCTCAGCTTTTATTGTCTATATTAGATGTTAGAATATTAGAAAAGGCTAGTTCAAATAATTTCACTAAAACATGGTCCAAAATTCAACAGAAGGTATGAAAACAAATGACTAATGTATAATTAGCCAACGAGTTACAGAAACTTCTAAATTAAAAGAAGCAAAGTGTTTCTATCAGCAATAAAATATCAGAGATTTTAGATGCTGGCTGATAGAATGCAATATAAGCTTTTTGGCTGATATTGGACATATATTAATATTGGATAGGGACATCCAAAGTAGGTAAATTGGCATGTAAATCTGAGCATATTAAGAGTGGCTGGCACCACAAAATAAACTGCTCTCTTTGCCATTACTACTAATATAGCATATATAGTGTAACCTCAAATTAGTTTACCTGAAATTTCATGTCTAAATTCAAAGGAAAGAACATGAACTATGGCAAGTGTTTTCTATTATGAGACATCAATTTGAACCCTGTCATACAGATTGATAATCACAATATACTAACTAATCCTAGGTTGGTGCTCGCTGGAGAAACAAACCTGCTGCTTCAAATGCAAAGACCATTTAAATACTATTAATCACTAGCAAAACTAATGTTACTAAAATTAATACAAACTAGAAAAGCACTCAGAGAGCGCAGACCTACCCCAAGCAGCCAATTTTGCCCTAAATTGTGACTTACATCTATAAGTAAGCTCTGGTAAAGAAAATTCCTCTGGACAGTGAGTTCAATGCTGAGGCTGTCAATAGTCAATGCTGTCACCTTCTGGTTTAGAAGGGGACTGCTTGGTCCGCCAAATATCCCTATCTCACAATGTTAGGGGGGAAAAAAACAGTATCCATATTATAATCTGGATCATAACCAAAATAGATTGTTTTTATTTATTATTGCATGAGGGACACAAACTCTCCTAAAACATAACCTCCTTGGCAGAGATAATTAGTAAACTGCTCTTTGAGGCATTCATTCATTTTTTAAACCCCTAGTATTTTCATTAGGTTGCAGGAGTTTTGGAGCTTATCCCAGCATTATTTAGGGAAAGGCAGGTATACACTGGACAGGTCACCAGTCCGTCACCTTTTGAGGAAATTGTACTGAATTGATTCACAATAACTGATCAAAATGCAAAGTATTACTGTAGAAGCTTAAGCAATTCAGTAGTATACCAGATATTGTGAAAAAAACTGTTTTTATTCAAGCTTCTAAAAACAAGCCGCAGGCACTTTCTTCACCATTTCTTAACAGCTTCGTGTTCCATCTCTGTCTCCTCATTCTGGCCTGTTCCTCTGTCTCTGCCGTCTCTTCCTGTTTTTGCTGCATTCATACATAAACCCGAAAAAATTCTTATTCTACTATATGACCTAGGACATTGTACAACTGTTTCTAGTGTTCTCTCACCAGAACTGTTATCCTGCATTTTGAAAGGGGAACTGATGTGGTTGGGAAATAAAAGAAATGTACATTAAGGAAGATTGGATTTTATTATAATTGTAATGGTTTAAGACTAGAATATAGGTATATTACAATATTCCTAAAACCAGGATGGGGTAATTTCAAACCCCCCTTACTGCAGCAGTGTCAGTGATATAGTACATTTTTCACCATTTTTTGTTTTAATTATATGTACAAGCTAATAAAAAATAAAATGAAAAAAACAGTCTGGCTCCATTTTAGGAAATGTTGTGAAGTGAGAAAGAAACTGGGGCTTTATCATAACAGAGATACAAACATTTGAAAATAAAAGGAGATCTTTCATTATTTCTAGGGCCTTTCATAAACCAATGCTAATCTAGTGTGGAATTAAACTCAGTGGAGCCATATGATCAGATTCGATCACTAAACATGTTCATTCATTGTGTTAAAAACTTTATAATAAAAAAATAAATAAAAAAAACCTAACGAAAGGCAGACTTTTGGGTTAAAATACAGATTCAATTTTTTTAGTAAAAAAAAAAAAAAAAAAAAAACACAATTACATAATTAATTGGTTTTAGTGTTAACCTTGTGATGCAAATCAAATAAGTTTTTGTGACTTCAATCAAAATAAAGAAAAATGTATTGGAAGCAGTAAGACATGAAACCTGCAGAGAAAATTTACTTGGCAGTAGAAAACAAAATATCTTTTTGTTACACAGAATATAACCTTGTCTCATTCAGTAAACAATACAATATAATTTCTGTAATGAGTAACTTTATTTTAGATGCTGATACAGGTCTATGTAGTCCAGGAAGAAGGGGTTGTTTTTGGTGGAGCATACTGGGTCATCACTTCTTTGATCCAGCTATTGTAACTACACATCCTGGTGTAAACTGTGGGGTGATCTGGATCCTGGCAGCCATGATTGAACCATGTCAATCCCTGCAGTTCACCAGCACACACCATCACGCTGCTTTTACCCGTCTAAAAAAAGAGATACACAATAAACAATATTTAAGTCTACTTTATAGAAAACAGTACCTGAGTGTATCAGCCAGATGTGAACAGGAACAGCATCATCAGCCACTTTGATCATCAGCAGTTCATCAACGTCGTATTCATGCTTACCAGGCAGTTATCTGTGTTTGCTTGACCAGCACAAACCATGACACCCCAGTACAGGTATGGAGGGAAGGTATTCAAGCAAGTCATATCATCCACCACAGGAACAGTTAGACACTTGAGGCGATAGGAGGGGTAATCTAATTTAAGTAGAAGGAAGGAAAGTTGTTACTTTGATGTATTTTAAATTGTTCAATTCATACAGATATCCTATCTCTGTTTTAAACTGTTTGAAAGCCATGATCCATTACTTGTCAAATTGCTACCTATTACAAGCATTAAACAAAGCGATTTTTCATTTTACCCAGGATTTTACAGATTATATAGAGCATGAAGATCTAATCATTTAGTAAATCCTGTTTTCAGAGTCTTAATTAGTTCTGAACACTGACTGGGTTTCCTGCCAGGTAATTAAAAACTGATTAAAAATGGAAATAATTTAAAAAATGTTCACTCCTCCTTAGGGACCCCTATAACCAGAATAGGAATGAACTTCACAGAGAATACCTTTGTTTATTTTATGAGCTTGACTTTTAACTACACTTTCTACAGAATGAGCTGGAATGTGTTGCTGGGTTAAATAATGTTTGGGTTTCCATACTAGGGTGTTTTAATTAGTGATCCAATCTTGAAAAAGGCTTAAGACAACGGGTAGAATGACTATATTAGCTGATGCTTTGACATTACAATGAAGGTCAATTATGCTGTTATTGCCTCCAATTTGGATTATTGCAGCTCTTTTTATCCACTTTTATTCAGATCCGAAATCCTTGCAGCATTTAAAGCTGTAGCTTGCATTTTAATTTGCAGTAAAATGCATGGACAACTAACTAACTCAGTTCCTGAAATCTTCCATTTAGGTTAATATTTATTTTGACATGCACTTAAAAATTGTATCTCTTGTATAGCTTTAAATGGCCTAGTTCTATCTCCACTGCACTTTTGGGAGCAATGTTATCAACCAACGGCTGGATCTGAACTAAAAATGTCGAAGAGCTGCCATTGCTGAATATATATGACCAGATAAATGTAAATGCCCCACAGATCTACCTCTTTGTTAAAATGATGGAGGAAAATTATACTAGTATCAGTCCCTTTAGTATTGTGGTACATTTATAGACATGAATATGTGTAACCACATGTGGTAACGCCCCAATACCACTACATAACTACTTTGCTGTGGTTGTTCTAATATCATGAAACAGCAGCATCCAATCTTTTGTTTGGAAAAACAGCTCCTGAAAAAACTCATATTTCATAAAAAAAAAAAAAAAATACTTTGTAGTGCCACAGGCAATAATTCATCATGTTTATGCTTATAATTGACTCTAGAAGGCTGAGAAAAGCATTCTACCATAATATAATATTGTCATGGTTCTTAGTTATGTTCAAAGTATGTTTTCTAAAACTGCAATATATATGTTTATATTAGCTGAACAATCACCATCGATGATAGTTTGTAATCCTGTCTTTTTATTCAACATACAAATAACAAGCTTGAAACCTCAAATGGGAAATAAACTTCTAGTATGAAATTGTTTTCTTTGCAAGGATACTTTGTTTACATTTCTGGTCTCTTCTGAAGTCTAAAGAATGTTTCATGAAATGAAACCTTTTTACCTATTGTCTGTCTGGCATTACAAGTCAGCAGGTTTCCTGAAGTACTACTCTGATTAACGGATCAGGAAGCTGAATTTTAGGCTCACACATTGATAAAGAGAGAAATAAAACGAAAGAACAGGTAGGCAGAATTAAAACCCGGCAAACTCAGATTTAGTAGAAAAAGATGTGATTGTTGCAGCATATATTCAGAAAAATTTGTTTTTCTCCCTAATCAGTACAATATTTGTTTTGTCCACTCATACTTAAATAGTTAAGAAATTGGCCTTTTGGGAATAGATAATCAGCTTCTGATTAGATTCATTATTAATTCTCTGCTGTGCTTTTTTTTCTTGGAATCCATCAGTGCAGTTTAATAATTTGGATTAGTTTGATAAATAAATCCTTCTTTAAGAAAATAAAAAAATACCCTTTTATCTGTAAATTTGAGAGAAAGATATTAAAAGGGATTTCAAAAGGTTTCATGACAAATATGAAAATTGATTAAATTTTGCACATCATTATACTTTGATGTATCTCATTAAGGCTACACATTGTGCTTAGTATTTTTTTACTACTATTTTGTTCTAAATTGTGCTTACATACCTTTGTAAATTATACAAAGTTAATTGTATTTTAAATGTATTTTTATCTGAAATTATTCTGCATTTATGCATTTAGTCTAGTGACTCGGATGAAGGCTTGACCCTAAAGAGCTTTGTTTTGTTAATAAAGCTGTTTTTTTTTTTTCAATACTGCACTTCATACCGCAGTACTTACCTGCTAGATTAATGAGATCAAAGTTTTCATGGCCGCTTTTAAATGTACTTACATTGGTTTGCGACTGTGGAGCCCCAGCCACTGACAGAGCAGACCTCTCCGGTCTGTGGGCAGCGGGTGGGCAGTGGGATTGGCTGGACATGTTTGTTAAAGACAGCAGGCTGAGACATTCGCACCATAGCGAGGCTGTGCAAAGGTGAGCGGTAGGGGCTGTGAAGAATCACATCAGAAACTAAGATGTGCTGCTCACTGCCTTCCTCCACACTTATGTCATGTTCGCCAAGAGATGCAATAGTCTCATAGGGTCTGTAAAGAACAAAGGAGAGCAATCCAATTAATTTCATTTGTGTACTTATGAAATTACCATTTTTTTTTACAAAATGAAATATATTTATTCTGCCTAAAAGCAGATTTTCTTTTGATGCATTAATTACTGTTACTTACATTGGACTGCACTCATGTGAAGTCAGTATCCACCATTCATCAATGAGAGCTCCGCTGCATCCATTACTCAGTCTCACATGCCAAGGTCTTGAGTGAGGTTGGCACTCCTTCTGATCGTCCAAGGGGTATGCACCTAAAGTCACCAATGACAGTAAGGAGAATCCGAAAGTATTGAACTAAAGCTTTTCCTTTTTTTGACTTTGAATGCGTAACAAAATCTTACCTGCAAGCCCAACAATAACAGCCAGGAGTAAGAGGTACATTGTTTTTCTCTGGGATTCTTCCAAAGCAGAAATACTGCATACAAGAGAACTAACCTGTATGCTTTATATATGAGATAATTGGGTAGGTCAAGGGGAGGAGCAGACTACTTATTAATATTCAGCGTCATTTCTCCATAGCCTTGTAATCAGTTTCTTATCAGAGTGATATCCATTGAGCAGCTTGTTTATTTTAGTGGTGTACTGTAATTCCTGTTGGGGTGTTTTTCTGAGAACAAAGTAAACCGTAGAGTACATATTACCACACCCTCCAGCATTTATTATTGCACCACTTTTACTGCTCTGGGAAAAAAACATAAAACTTAGGACACAATCCAAACCTTTTGCTTGACTATAGCTATAGCGACAATTGAAAAAAATAAACATTATGAAAAATACATTTTCTTCATAAAAGCTTTTGGCACATCAATTGTTAACAGCCCTGTTTTTTTTTTTGTTTTTTTTTTGTTTTTTTTTAAACTTCAGACAACTCCTTCAACCAAAAATAACATGTTTTGCTTAACTCTATAGAGTTTCAAGACTGGAACATACAGACAGAGGGATATTTTAGCATCCCTGTTTGCACAGTCTCCTATTTGCAGGATGTTTCAGCACCCCTTGCCATCAACCCCACAACACCCTTCCTCTCCTCCTTTGGGTATGTTACAGGGTTTTATGTTTGTATTTAAGACATCTGAAACTGTTGGGATCTGGAGTTGTTCCACCTTTCCCCAGCAGAGTGCGCCGTGGGTTCTCTGGGCTGGAGCTCAACAGCCCACCTGGAGCTCGTCAGCCCATTAGAGGACCCTCTACTTAAGCAGATGCCAGACCTTTCTTCGACGCCGCAGTGTTAGCTAAGTTTGGTTAGCGAACCTGAGCCTCCTTGTTTTTGAATTTTGTCCCCTAGAGAAAACTTAATTCTAACCAGCCTTTGTCTTGTCGCTCCTAGGAAAACCTGTCTCTCGTGTGAAGCTCTGGGAGAGCTTAACCTGCATCTCCCTGCCTGCCCTAGAGAGCCAAACCTGAAGATCTCACTTTGGAATCCACCTGCTGCTCTCGGAAGGAGAGCTAACCCCTCAATCCAAGGTCTGATCCAACAGTCAGAAGTTAGACGCAGCACCTGCTGAGCACTCTGTCAAGCCAACAGTCTCTGGACCCAACCGGTTCCCCCCCTCTGAGAAGAAAGCCAGTAACTCTCCAAGGTATAGTCTGCAACAATCTGAAAACTAAACAACGCTTCCAATCCACCTGGTTAACCAAACTGTCATCTCTGCAGACGCCTGAGAATCCAGCCCGGACCTGTTTCCTGAACACAGTCTTATTTTGTGCAAACATTTAATAAACTGTTTAACTTTTCATCTGTCTCCTGGTAGTGTTCTGCATGTGGGTTTGATTCAGAACCAATCATGACAGAAACAGGATAAAGATCCAGGTGTTTCCCTTCCCTTAACCAAAAATATTGTTTATTGTCATTCGCCTGCTACAATCCTAAAGGACACGTTTAATGCATTAATCCTTGAAACATTAACATTCCTCAAAGACTCTTGAACGGACGTCAAACATTTTCCCCTTTTAATTGTTTATTTACTTGTGCTTCCTATTCAGTAATGTTTAGTGTCTGTTTAGTTATTAGATATAATAATACTGTGTGATTATCAGCTAATTAAGGCGCATTTGTATTTTAATTTGTTTATTTTACACAGTGATCGATTTATCAATCCAGCAGGATTCACTCTTTCAGTAACATCCAAATGAAGAGAGACAGATTCATTTGGGTAGCGATTAATAACTCTTTATATAGCCATTGTCTAAATAACTAAATTAGTGAAAACAACTGGATTTTAAACAGCCAGTCCAGGACTCCATCCTTTAATGTTAGAGACTAAGAACCCTGGTGAGTAAGCAAATTACAGTTATAATCATTCAACTAATAATAGTGTTACCCTTGATTTGAATTATCTATTTATTAACTATGAATTCCAGTTACATATTATTATAGTCTTCTGGTAAACTTGCACAACCAGGGGAATAAACTAAATGTTTGCCTTCTACAGCACAGCTGAGTGACATAGAGGAGAGAGAAAGTGGAACAGATTCTTTAAAATGTATAACTGCATTATCTGATATTCATCCAAAGTGAAAACTTCCTTTTGGGGAGGAGAACTCTGTTAAAGTAATTTAGAAGGTTATTACAAAGCGGTCAAAGAGGACAGGGTTGTGAGGAAATACGGTAATTTCTTCAACATTCAATGCCATATGTCAGCACAAGGTCCAAAGCATTAGGATAAGAATGTGTGGGACTACTCACATTATGAACAAAGCCAATCAGGTCTAAGATAGCATTAAAGGCTGCATTTAAGCTCTCACCTTCAGCATGGATGTTAAAATCCCCCACTATGATATTGTCAGTATTTAAAACTTATCAGATAGAAACTCTGAAAACTCATCTAAAAATTCAGAGTAAGGACCAAATTCAATGAGGGAAATTAAGGGTTAAATGATCAAAAGAGTTGTAATTATTAACTGACTGTGGAGTAATCGGCAAGTCTGACTGAAATAGTGTTGCCATGCCTCCTTGCCGGGAATTTCTGGGTATATGAAATATCTTCTTATTGTCTGTATATAATAAAGAAGATAAGAGTTAGGACTTAGTTTGTGTGTTTTTATTACAGTAGATTATTGATTTACTATGTTGCAATTTTGTTACCAGCCTTTACATGTTGCGCAGCTTTTAATGACTATGTGAATTGTCACAACTGTGGTTTTAGGTTTTTTATGCATTAATAAAATAGTAACAAAACAGCAATTTGATAGTAAAGTGAGATACACTAATGAGGATAAACAAATCCATTTAAAGTATTCAAAACAGTGTGAAATAATAAAGAAAAAATGCTGACATTTGCAGCATGGAAAAGGAGTTATGGGGGACATGTCTCACTGTGAGTGAGTTAAAGCAAATAAAAGGGGATTTGATTAAATGCAGAGTGACAGTTCGCTCTAAAGGTTAATAGCTGCTGTTGTGAAAGCCCAAGCATGTCACAAAAAACATCAGTGTCCTTGTTTAAGAAGTCACCATAGTGTTCCTGTTTTCTGTGTTATTCAAAGTAGAGCAGTCATTGCCAAACTGGCAGAAAGATTTGATGTGTTATGGGTTATGTTGGGACGGGGGATGTTTAGGAAATCCTGCTGGATATAGTGCAACAAGGATAACATGATGTAGCAATGCTTTCCCCAAAGGGCTCGTGCAAGTGGGGGGCAGCCCCTCCAGATCTAGTTTCTACATGAAGAGAGTGGTTCACTCTCTGAAAGAACAAAGCAAAACAGTGGTTAGTGGAAGGAAGTTTTCACATGTTTCGAATGAAAAAAATAAAGTTGTTTATCTTTACCAGTTCACATTTTTGTTTCTGCCTATAAGCTTAAGGTCATTTTGGAGAGCTCAGATTTTCTTTCAATTTCTGTGGTTTTGATATGTCCTAAAAGGTACAATTGAGTATGAGAGTGTGAAGCTTATGGATTTTGTTGGAGCGAAATTGAGCCCCCATTGAGAGTACCCCATGTCATTCCAATAGAGGTACTAAATTAATGACATGATGATCCGAGATCTTTTTGGATGGATCCAAGTCAACACTGGGTTTTTGTTTTGTTTTTTTTTTTCTTGAATTTTTTGTCTGTATTGTGTTTGTTGTTTCATTTGTTGGACTAACATCTTAGGCTTAAAAAAATACAATATTGTTTGTTCTGAATATTACTTTTGTTTGAATAACAAAAAAAAAATGAACCATGAACTTTGTTTGGAGAGAAAGATTACACTTCAGAGGGGACAGAGACAAATTTTTACACCTGGGCTTTATAAGGAGGGATGGTGTGCTGACATTGAGGAGGTGACAGGATGCCCTTTGCCTCAGACGACACAAGGAGGCACAAAACAGGCCATTGGCAATGATGAAGTGAAGAAGGGTCATCAATCATCGGGACGGGTTAGGATGCAAAAGATAAAAGAACTGACAGATTTTTTTTCTATACATATGAAAAAACAGAGAATGATTAAAAACAGGTTCATTAATGTCCGTATAAATACAGACTGCGGTAGAACCACAGTGCTGGTACTATTGGACCAGTGCAGCATTTGATACTGTCGATCACTCCATCCTGTTAGAGCGCCTGGAAAACTGGGTCGGCCTCTCTGGTACAGCTCTCAACTGGTTTAAATCCTACTTAAAGGACAGGGACTTTTTTGTATCAGTACTGTAGGTAACTTTACATCAGAGATGACAAAAATCACATGTGGGGTTCCCCAAGGGTCCATCCTGGGTCCCCTCCTATTCAATATCTACATGCTCCTTCTTGCTCAGTTAATAAAAAACATCAGCTACCATAACTATGCAGACGACACACGGCTTTACATCACCATGTCACCAGGTGACTATGAACCAATTCAAGCACTGAGGAAATGCTTAGAAGAAATCCATGCCTGGAGGTGCCATAATTTTCTTCAACTGAATAAAAACAAAATTGAAGTAATAATCTTTGGACCAATAGAGGAAAGATCTAAATTAGCACACAGCTTCAGTCGCTTCAGCTAGTAACCACTGATCAGGCCCGAAATCTAGGTGTAGTGCTGGATTCAGACTTGAACCTCAAAAAGCATTTAAAGTCAATTACAAGGTCGGCTTTCTATCACCTGAAGAACATTTCCAGGATTAAAGGACTAATGTCCCAGCCTGATCTGGAAAAACTAATCCAAGCGTTTATTTTTAATCGAATTGATTACTGCAATGGTGTTTTCACAGGTCTGCCTAAAAAGTGGATCAGACAGCTGCAGCTGATGCAGAACGCTGCTGCCTGTGTCCTCACTAAGACTAAGAAAGTAGAGCACATCACCCCAGATCTAAACTCCTTACACTGGCTCCCTGTATCTCAGAGAATAGACTTTAAAATACTTCTGTTAGTCTATAAATCTCTGAATGCTTAGCACCTAAATACATCACAGACTTGCTATCAGTGTATCAACCCTCCAGACCACTCAGGTCTTCTGGCTCCAGCCTGCTCTGCATACCTAGAACCAAAACTAAACATGGAGAAGCAGCATTTAGTTCCTATG